TTGGAGACGATGAAGGGGCCTTCCCAGGGGCTAAGTAGCTTGTGTCGTCCTGAGGTATTCTAGATACACTTAAGGACTAGATCACCGACTTGAAAGGTACGGGGGCGTACGTTCTTGTCATAGTGACGTCGTAGTCCTTGTAGGTACCTAGCAGACTAAAAGAGTGTGTTAAGCTTGATTTCTCCGGCACTATCAATTTCTAGCTATCGGGTTTCGTCTGCTTCGCCTTCATTGTACTATCCAACCCGAGGAGAGTTCCATATCAAATCCGCTCGCAAGATGGCTTCTAAGCCATAAGCCAGGAAAAAGGGAGAGTACCCTGTCTCTTTGCTTTGCTGAGTGCGTAATCCCCAAACTACCTTGGGTACTCATATATCCACTTGCCGCCGTAGTCTTTAAGCTCGTCGAATAGCTTGGGCTTTAGTCCGGCTAGAAGTAGCCCGTTAGCCCGCTCTACTTGGCCGTTCACTTGAGGATGAGCTATGGAAGCATAGTCGATGCTGATGCCACAATCTTGAGCCCAACTTCTGAACTCGATAGCTGTAAAGGGTGAGCCAAGATCTGTAATGATCCGATTGGGCATACCGAACCGGTACATAATGTCTTACATGAACTCGACTGCCTTTGTGGTGTTGAACTTGATGAGTGGCTTGTATTCTATCCACTTAGTGAACTTGTCAATAGCCATGTAGATGTATTCGAAACCACCCGATCCTCATTTGAGAGGTCCAACCATGTTGAGCACCTAGCACGAAAAAAGCCATGATGGAGGGATGCAAATAAGGTTGTGAGCTAGGATGTGAGCTTGCTTGGTAAAGAATTGACAGCCCTTGCAGTGTCGCACTAACTCTTCTGCGTCTTTCAGTGCTGTAGGCCAATAGTACCTAGATCTGAAAGCCTTACCGACTAAGGTCTTGGAGACTAAGTGGTTGCCACAACATCCGGAGTGAATTTCCTCCAAGATTTTCTGCCCTTCTTCAGTTGTAATGCATTTGAGGAGAACACCAGATGATGTGCCTCATTAGTAGAGCCTGTCCCCGACTAAGACAAAATTCTTGCTTCTACGCGTGATCTACTCTGCTTCTACCTTGTCGTTGGGCAACTCATGGTCTCGGATGTAATCAATAAATACTTGCGTCCATGCCGGGTTGACCACTAGTACCTGGACATCAGGAGTCAAAGTACTGGTGGATGTGGAGGCTTCTTGTTTGATTGAAGGGACTTGGAGTTCCTAAACAAACACATCGAGGGGTAATTGGGCTCTATCTGATCTCAATTTGGCTAAAACATCTGTCGCAACATTGAGATCTTGCATAACATGGAGGATTTCTAGACCTTGGAAGTGTTTCTTAAGTTTGCGGACTTCTGTGCAGTAAGCGTCCATGGTCTCCTTGGTGCAGTCCCAATCCTTGTTAACTTGGTTGATGACCACCAAGATTCGTCATAGACGAGCAAACGCTTGATGCCACATGAGACTACTACTCGGAGGTCGTGAAGGAGGGCCTCATACTTGGCTTCATTGTTGGTAGCAGGCCAAAGTATTTGTAGGACATATTTAAGCTGCTTTCCATATGGAGATATGAAGAGAACACCAACGCCTACGCCTCCTAGCTTGAGGGAACTATCGAAATACATCTTCTAATGGTCGAGGATAACTGTCGGAGTAGGCTACTAGGCTTCGGTCCACTCAGCTATGAAATCAGCCGAGACTTAAGATTTGATAGCCTTGCGGAGAACTCGATGTTCTGAGCTCTGAGTTCTACTGACCACTTGGATATGCGTCCTGTTGCATCTCGATTGTGTAGGACATTGCTAAGTGGGAAGTTGGATACCACAATTACCTTCTGTTCATCAAAGTAGTGACATAGCTTGTGTGAAGTGATCAAGAGGGCATAGAGGAGCTTTTGCACATGTGGGTACTTGGACTTGGATTCTGATAGCACCTCGCTAATATAATAGATAGGTTATTGTACCTTATATACGTGCCCTTCTTTAGCCCGCTCCACGACTATTGTTGTGCTGACTACCATAGTAGTAGCTGCAATGTAGAGTAGGAGTGGTTCATGCTTCTCGGGTGGAGTGAGTATTGGAGAGGTGTGTAGGTACTCTTTGAGCTTCTGAAAGGCTTCATCAGCTTTAGCTGTCCACTCGAACTTGCCTAACTTTTTCAACAACTTGAAGAAGGGCAAACCTTTCTCCCTGAGTCGTGAGATGAAATGATTGAGGGCAGCCATGCACCCTATCAGTTTCAAAACATCTTTGATGTAGTGAGGTTGAGTTATCTAAGTGATTGCTTGAATCTGTTTCATGCTAGCTTCGATACCCCGATGGCTCATGAGGAAACCTAATAGTTGTCCGGAAGGAACTCCAAACACATACTTTGTTGGGTTAAGCTTCCACTTGTACTGACGAAGACTATCAAATGTTTGTTTCAAGTCTACGATCAGAGTAGAAGGATCCTTGGTCTTGATGATGACATCATCCACGTAGGCTTCTACATTATGATTGATCTGTTCGCTTAGGCACGCCTAGATAGCCCGTAGATAGGTTGCACCGGCATTCTTTAACCCGAAGGACATGGTCGTGTAATAGTAGGCACCAAATGGAGTGATGAAGGATGTCTTGCTCTAATCTTCTTTATGGAGGGCAATATGATGATAACCCGAGTAGCAATTAAGGAAGGATAAAATAGTCGACTCGGCCATAGAGTCTATGATCTGATCAATGCAAGGTAAGCCGAAGGGGTCTTCTAAGTAGTGTTTTTTGAGATCTGTGTAGTCGACGCACATATGCCACTCTTTCGAGTTCTTCTTCTAGACAAGTACAGGATTGGCTAGCTAGTCAGGGTGAAGGATTTCCTAATGAACCCGGCTGCCAATAGCTTGGTGATTTCCTTCTTGATTGCTGCTTTCTTATTTGGTGAGAACCATCGTAGATGTTGCTTGACTGGCTTTGAGCCGAGGTTTAAATCCAATTTGTGCTCAGCCAACTCTCTGGGAACACTCGGCATATCAGCCAGTTTGCATGCGAAGATATTCTTATTTTCCCTGAGAAAGTTGGTGAGCATGAGTTCCTATTCTTTGGAAAGGTGGGCGCTGATGATAGCTGTCTTAGAGGGATCACCAGTACCCAGATCAATCTCGATGGTATCCATCTTAGAAGGTGGTCCAATGATTCCCGCCTTCTTAGTTGGAATCTCCATGTCTTCTGGCTTAGTCTGCTGTGCAATGTTGGCAATCTCCTGTGCTTCATAGGCTTGTTGTGTTCTGGCCGAAATCTGGATGGCTTATGTGTCATAGTCATATGAGGGTTTGAGGTCGCCTCGGAAGGAGGGTACGCCATTGGGACCTGGCATCTTGAGCAAGAGGTACGGGTAATGTGGTACGGCCATGAACTTGGCCAAAGCAGGTAGACCAAAGATATCATGATATGATGATTCGAAGTTAGCCACCTCGAACTTGATGAACTCCATTCGGAAATTGTTTGGGTTGCCAAATGTTACCAGGAGCATGATCTGTCCGTAGAAAGAGACGTTGGTGGGGGTGAGTAGGCTGGTAAAGTCTAGGCCTATCTTCTTCAGCATATCTACAAATATTATATTCAATCCTACGCCACCATCGATCATGGCCTTGGGGACTATCATGCCGGCTATTGTTGGACCCAAGACGAGTGGATAGTGGCCAGCGTTAGTCACACTAGTCCATTGATCATTTCTAGAAAACTGGATCGGTTACTCGGACCAATTAAGGTACTTTGCTATTGAGTGCTCTCCTGCCATGATGTCCCGAAGAGCCAACTTCCCTAAGTGCTTGTTTGATGAAGTTGGTAGCCCTGTAAAGATTACTATGATTTGGCCCTTGGACTATTGAAAGCTAGGGTCAGTGATGTTGTCTCCATCTTTGTTGTTATCAGCTTTAACCTTGCCCTTGTTGCTTTTGCCATAGAAACCCAGTTCTTGGAGTTGTCTGCACTCGGCCATTGTGTGTTTGGTGTTCTTGTGGAAAGGGCAGGGTAAATTTTTGAGGTCTTCAACTTATTATTTTTGTTAGACTTCTTGGACCTGCACCCATGGAAGCAAGGGTGTTGTCGGGTCCTCTCTTTCTGCCAGACTGTCCACCCTGATTGCTTTTGGGATCGTAACCTTTGTCTTGTGTGCCACCTGAGAATCATTCACGAGTACACTATTCAGATGCAATCATCTTCTATACTGTACACTTGAAATTCCTCGACGAACTCTGGATTATCGTCGTAGAATTTTTCAAACTACCACTTGTTTTTGATCCCGTTGGTGAAGTGATCTACCACTTCCCTATCTATGATATCATAGACTTGGGCTCGTAACTTAGCAAAGCGGCGATAATATTGCTTTAAGGTTTCATCTGGATTCTGCTTGCAAGTTCTAAGCTCGTTCCAAGTACTTGGGTGGCCTAGGATGCCACAAAAAATTTCATAGAATTTGCGCTGAAGCGGTCCCCAAGTATCGATGGAGTGGGCTCATAACTTATCAAACCAAGCGAGAGGCATAGTGTCGAGTGCCATGGGAAAATATAACACTTTGATGTCGTCGTCGCCGCCTGCCAACTCGATAGACTGAGAGTAGATGCACAACCATTGGTTGGCTTCTGTCTTCCCGTCATACTTGGTATGGTTGGACGGCTTGAACTTGTAGGGAAGCCGGATAGAGAGTAGTCTATTAGAGAAACATGAGAACCTGTCCGTTGAGATGCCGGCCTCTCTGTACTCATACTTGCCTCTGCCTTCCCAGTTGTTGTACTGGTGCTCATGATAGGCCGACTGTGCGGCACCCTAATTCCTACTCTAGTTACCCTACGACCCTAGATGGGAGTGGGCTGGTATTCACTATTCTCCTCCTTGGTTACCCTATGGTCCCAGACGAGAGTGGGCTAGTGCCCACACCTCTGGTCCTCGGGAAGGGTGAGCTTGGATGTCACTTTTACATCCTGCATCTGAAGGGCTATGGATTCCAGAATGACTTTGAGTCATTGCTGATCTAGAGTAGGGTTTTCTATGGCTGCCATCACTTCTACTAGGGCATAGACATTTGCATAGGGCGTAGTGAAGACCCTGTGGCCAGCTACTTCCATGAACTCAAGCTCAAGGTTGCGTGATGTAGAGGCTCTGACGGCATCATGGTATTGGCATTGTCGTTCTGCTTCTTCATCCCGTAGAAGCTGTTCATATGCTGCCTCTGCAGCCAAGTGTCGTCGTTCAATGTCTCGACAAGCCAACTGATACCACTGCCACTCTTCCTTGCGGTGTTGGGCGTGGTTGTGCCAAGCCTGTCGAGCTCTGATTCTTCCTTTCCCTATCTGTCTTCTGCTCATCCATTTCTTCATTGGGTGGCGTAGTGTCCGGGGAGATGTCGGACAAAGCTTCCTCTCCATCTTGGATATCTGGTGGGTTAGGCATAGGGATCTGAGGTGGCTGCCCAGCCATAAAGACTTCTCTAGAGTGCCTCATGGCCGAGTGAGTTCTAGATTCTATAGTCGTCATGATGTCCAAAATCTCTGTAGAACTGTGATTGTTGTTGTCTGCTGGAAGAGTTTTGCCGTCCTAATAAGGCAAGAGTTCCACTATGCCGACTAGAGGAGATGAATCTATTAAAAAAGTATCGGGTCGAGCACCCAACCAGTGGACGATGCCTCCTTCAAGTGTGATGGATAGAACTAAACCTCTCTAGGCACCCGTAAGAGGGATCTATTGCTTAGACTACACGAGGTAGCTAATCGTATCTTGATAGATTGAAGCTGAATTTTTGAGTCCGAATGGAAAATGAACTGGGTCTTCGTGTTGGACTTCAAATGGGATCTCTAGCCCGACAAAGGTGATGTGTCCGAGCAGGAGTCGTGGTTGATGGTGACCTCTTGAGTTCTAGTTGGGTCAGAGATTGAGAGGTGTGAAAACTTCTCGGCGAGTTGATCCAGTGTGGTCGTTGAGACGTCTAGCGAAGCTTGAGGCACCGGGATCTCCATGAGTCAACTTTGGAGCTTGCCGTTGTCGTCTGCCTTGCAGATCTAGGAGCCGAAGATAAAGGTGATACCTGCCGAGAAAATCATGTCATTGAGGTCTGCCGAGCTCTCGATCATAAAGTCACCGAAATCCCCTACTTGGCGCGCCAGTTGTTAGTGTTTGATGACCGGTAACCCGTCACGGGGTACCCAGGACGGTGTTCGAAGGGCTTTGGCGTACATAGAGCTCAACAGTAAATGCAAAGAGACAAATGATTTATACTAATTCAGGCCCTCTTGTCAAGTAATAGCCTTTACGTTCAGTCGGTGTGTAGCCTTTTGCGTTGGATTGATTGTATGATTATTATAGTTATAAGGGGGTGCACCGTACCTCTCTTTATACAAGGGAGAGGATAAGGGTACGTATCTAGTCCTAGTCGGTTACAAGAGAAGAGTCCTAGTCCTATTACGTAATCTAGCTTTCATAGTAAGCCGATTAAGTCGATCTAGAATAGCTTGAAGTCCACGCCACCTTATCTCGCGTCCTTTAACAGATCGTGGACCATCCTAGGGCCCATCCAAGTAGTACCCCCGTGGGGAACCCCTAGGACCCTGGTCCGTCACCGCCCCTACAAAAAAAAAAGTGGCATTGCTATAAATCCTTTTTGTAGTAGTGCATGTTTTTCAAGAAGTGAAAACTATTGCGCCATTATTATTTAAGAAAATGGAAAAAATATTCCGTGAATGTACAGAGCCAAGTATCATAATGTTGTCAGCTTATTCCCTGATAGAAATAAAGAAAAAGAGTGCACTCAAATAGGAGAAATCATATGCAAAATCTATCATTACATTGTCATCCATTCTTGGCAAACACATCCAAAGCGATAACTTTCAACGCTTTGCTTGCCAATCAAACCTTCTCCCCTAGAACCGCAACTAATATGATACCGTGAAAACAGCCTGCATAAAAGAAATAGAATGTTTTTTCTCAAAACAATGTCATTAGGAGTAAACAAATTTCCCAAATAATAGTAGCAAACCCAGAAAAATCAATTGCTTATCCTCCCAACACTAGCACAAAGGTTTTCAGAGGTAGGCAAAATAAATTAAAAGACATGGGGACCATGCCTCCTGCTCTATTTCAAAGTCATTGTAAATCGAGGATTTACAGAGGCACTTGTTATGCTTGTCTCTATTAACGCAAATAAAAATAAAAAAAAGCCTGGCCTGGGCATCCAACCGGGCCTAGGCCTTCATCTAGGCCCTTAGTCCATCATTACCGCGTTGATCTGCATGGCGCTGCTAGGGCATCGCCCCCGCGCCGTCAATGTACAGGTCGCTGCCATGTCATCGATGCAAAGGAGTCATGCCATCCTCTCCTTCACTACCGCCACGCTGTCAAAACGGAAACCATATTTTGTTAATTGATTTTCAAAGGTAGTCATATAATTGTTGCCTTTGTAAATGGAACGAGTGTCTCCAAAAGTCGCGGCTCATTTTAGGAGATAGCAATATTTTTTGCCTGCCTCTGTAAATACAATAGTTATCTTCTAAAATCATTTTTGTGGTACTTCTCTCCCTGTGCCCGTGAGCCAACCTCAAAGCATGTGAGTAGTAGATCTCGGTTGTGTTAACCCAGTGGCTAGACGAACAATATTCCCAATAGTCTTAGCATGGTGGCAATAAAAAAAGGTGCTTAATTGTTTTATTGCAATCACAGAAACAATACTTTTGGCTACGAGTCTAGTTCCTCTAGGCTAAATTGTGTTTTGGTAAGATAACATCTCTCTCGATGTACCCAATTAAGATTTTTACTTAAGAGGGAGCTTCAATTTCCAATTGAATTTATTGATGAAAAGAGTATCCTAATTTAAGCTAAGACATCTATTTGTCGTCAGTTCAAGCTCTGCGAAAGGAGATATTAATGGGTACTTTATTCATTATTGTCTCGACAGTTAAGTCAACTTGTTCTGCCATTAAAAGTCAGTAACTGTCAGATCATCTAAACACACAGGCATCTTATATTTTCTGCCCAAGCAGTATGTCCTTGAGGATGCACCATGTTAACAAAAAAAATCTTACATAGTGCTCATTATTGTGAATGGTACTACAGACAGAAAGTAACCTAAACAAACCAATTGGTTGCTTAATAATTAAGCTAATTTGCAATTATAAATAGCTAAAATGAAACACATAACCAACCTATGTACCAGCTCATCAAACACACTTGATGTCATAACCGATTTTCCAAAGAAAACCAAACACTTTCCATATGTGTGTCCAGGATGTCCACACGATATATGTAGTGACAAAATAATGAAAATATCTAAAACCATGCTTTATTACATAACATTAAACATTACATTAAGCCACAAACCATTAGCACTACATTGTAGAGATGGTTCTTTATCTTCTCTTGGGGCTGGGCGAACACACGCATAGGACTTATGGAACTCCTTTGAAAACATTCATCAAATGCTTCATCTGTACCCATTTAGGATTTTTTAAATTTAAGTATGTATGATCTCATCATGCTGAACAAGTATAACATGATGTTATGCAAGGCTCAAAACCTAGACTCAACTAAACTGTAGTAAACACTTCTAGGTGATCATATTTTATTCTTTTAAACCTGAGTAGCTAAGAGTGCAACAAAATTAACTCATAAGACAAATCATCCAGCGGATCTATGTAATAAAAAGGAATCTAGGCTGCTCATGACAGAGAGCACAAATGTTGTACCAGTTTAACAGCACTCGGCTAGGTTAGCCTGCTGGGCTAGGCCTTGGCATAAGCGAGAAGTGGCAGTGGGTGAGCTGGGCTTCCCCACTGGGTTGCATGGGCCGTTGTGCCCCTAGGTTATGTGGGGGAGAAGAAAGGAGATTAGGCCCATAAAACGGAGAAGGCCAGGGCCTGCCGGATTCGGTTGAGGGCCAAAAAGAGAAAGAGGGAGAAACACAAAATTTTATTTTCTTTCAAAGGCACCTTTTAAATTCTTTTACAAAGCAGTTTCAAAAAGTTCAAGATTTTCAAATTTTAAAACACATCAACTATTTTTAAACTCGTTTTACAAATAGATTTAAACCAAATTATTTTTCAAACTTTTCAAACCCATTTTTAAATTTTTAACTCTATTTTGCATGTTTAAATTTTTTTGAGAAATCACTTCAAAACTGTTTTGAGGATTTCTATAAAAATGAATTATTTTTAACAACATTACATAAACTTTTTAAAATGTATTTTAAAATTACATCGCAAAATTAAGCCCTTTTCTAGAACAAACCATTAACATTTAAAATTAAATGACAACTCATTTGAAAATTAGTTTTTGAAACAAAATTTTAAAGATTCATTTTCTGAAAGAGAACAAAACCTATTCGAGACCTAAACAAAATAAATTATGCAACAATCTCATTATAAAATTGTGAAAAAAGTTATAAAATCATAACTTGTTTTCTAAATTATAAAGAACTTAGAAAGTTTTAGAAAGATAGTAAAATCATTTATTTTAGTTTGTGTTTTTTCACAATTAAAAATTAAAAATAGAAATTTTGTGATGTGATACTTAACAGCCTAACCATTGCACGTACTTAATACATTTTTGCTGTCAACAGATTGCTAACCCTGTTGCTCCCTTAGACTCACGGAGTGGTGTCGCCTTTGGGGCTTAGGATGCAACCTGGTTGGCCACGCATTTCGCGAGGCAGTTGTTTTGGTACTTGCGTGATGAAGAATTTCACATGAAAATTTTCTTTAAGAAGGAACCACAGCAACGTCATTTCCAGAACATGTAAGCTGCATTTCAATGATCGTTCACCTTTATTTAACCTAGAAGAAGCACAACACTGACAAGTCACGAGAATTGAAGCTTTAATATTCCTATGTTTAGGTAACTAACTTGCCATGATCAGTTTCGTGTCTCTATCATAGCAGAGCATGCATAATGTATGTTCTCAGTGGAAGGAGAAAGGGTATACATCAAACGCCATACTGGATCTTGGTATCTTTAGCCTGTTCCTATAGGAAATTTTGTCGAACTGATCCCGCAATCAGAAATTCTGATTGAAGCAAATGAATTTACCTTGCTCCCCAATTATGAATTTTGGTCTACAAAATTGTGATATATGGTTCACTTAAGATCTAAATCTTTTACAACCATTGTCAACAAAGCCAACATTATAGCTCGTTAAGTTATTGATCCAGGTTGGGAGCTAAATGAGCAAAGCACTTGACAGTCAACCACCCTAAACAAAACAAAAATTATGCTTGATGTTATGATATATATGCCTATTATTGAAGTCTAGAATATATCTATGCTATTTATTGCTTGATTTTTGCATAGAACAAGTTAGTAGTTTCCAATTTATGCATTGGTTTGTCATTGTTAACGATCCAACTCACAAACTAAACTAGCCAAAAGTGGAGCTAGAGTTTTAGCCTATTTTCTTAACGAGTCGGGCTATAACAAGCCATAAGATAGCCGGGCCAAAACCAGACGAGCTGCCTCATTATGCAGCCCACTGCTAATATTTTTTTCTCTTTTGTCACAGCAACATATTACCATAGGTCATATTTGGTTGTAACTAGTAGATATTTTTACCACGGCCAATAATCTCGTGGAGATATATCAAATAAGTTGCCAGGATTTATTTAACATTGTGCATTTCTGTTGCATCAGGTTACCAAAAATCGCAATGAAAGAAAAAAGTGGTTGCAAACTTGCAATAGATAGATCCACTTGTATTACAAAAAGAAAAAAAAAAATACACCATTGCATTATTAGGGTAAATTTCCTTGCCCTACACTGCCTCTCCTTAACTCCGTATACCCACCACCAATTGCACTGCCAGACACCCTGGACACACTATTAGTTCTCCCAGTTGAATTAGGGCATGTTTTGGATCTGCCAATAATTAATGCAGCAAAATCGTGGTACCATCATTCCCTCTAAGCATATGTACTATACGCAGACATGTAACCACAAGATTGCCATGATAATAGGATACAGGGCTGAATTGATGCAGTCCCCTGCATCGTGTGGAGCACGAGGGGGCAAATCTGCTACTCCCTTCATTCTCTTTTACAAGACGCATACGTATATTAAGATTCAGACTTTAATTTCTTTGAAGAAGATTAGATTTTGTAATTAAATGTAATATATAACTAGTTGAATTCCCCGCGCGTTGCTGCGGGAATTTGAGGTTACAATTTAGAGAACATATACCTAAAGTCAACAATTTAATTTGTAGATGATAGTTGACTAAATTCATCCTAATGGGCATATATATACCGGCATATACGTGTAGGTTGTGAGTAGGGATGAAAACGGTACGGATATTTTCTGACCGTATTCGAGACCGAATCCATTTAGAGGGGTTCAGATCTGTCCGTATCCGAGCCCCACTATTCAATATCTGATACCGTATCCATATCCGAATACTCAAATCACATATTTATGATGTCGACATCCAATCATATTATATCTGGGATGGCTGACACTATCCATATTCGAATCCGAATCCGACCAGAAATATGAAAACAAATATAATATCAATGATATCCGTCCGTATCCGATCTGTTTTCATCCCTAGCTGTAAGTTTTGGAATACACGTGGCTTTAGTAGAAAAGCCAAAACGAAAAGATAAAATGTAGTAGTATTCATATTATACTACATATCCGGTAAACTAATCCTTAAAAGCTATGAAATACGAAAGCTTAAAAATGAAAATATATGATCATATAAAGAGGCACAAACTAAGGTAAAAATAGTATCCAGTTTGAACCTGAGCTAAAGATTATCGAGTTTGAACCCGTGACCCTGCCTGCTCTCCTTTTCTATCTTTTCACACATCTTCGGGCACTCGCTCGTTCAGCGACATGGCACGCCTCGCCCAGATGATAGCCTTGACCTAGTGACGATGGAGGTGGAGGTGTCTGGAGGACCAGGGCTGTGGCGACCGATGCTCATTGTGTCGGAGACGGCGCAGTGCCAGGAATAGAGGCAGCTGGAGGAAGATGTGGTGGTGCTCGCTCGCGGTGCCGGGAATAGAGGCGGCTGGAGGAAGATGTGGTGGCACTCGCTCGGTCGGAAGCAGCGCTGTGCCGGAGGAGGAGGTGGAGATGGCATGGCGTTCATGGCGGCACCTGGATGCTGCCGGTGAAAGTACCGATGGGTTGCTTGGTTCGGAGCATGGACATGATGGGGGAGGGCGGTGATGGTACGTTGTTGGTGTCTAGACATCTCGCGTCGTCGACACCATTTTCCACGCCTTTTGGCTTCCGACGCCCAAGGATCGCGGCTTGGGGCTGCTACCGGCAATGGCGTGAGGCTCCACTACCGGTTGTGGCTCTGCCATACTGGTGGCGTGGGCAGCTGGATCCACTGCCGAGGAGAGCAGTAGCACAACTATTTAAATGCGAAGGCAATAACGATGGTACACTTCAGGTACATAAATTGTTGTGGCAGATGAATGTATGCGGCAAATGGCAATAATGCCTGTGTGGTTTTGCCCGTTCGCTTTTGTGGCAGATGAATAATGGATACGGCAAATGGCAATAATGCCTGTATGGCTGTGCGCTTGTGTGCAAATTGTGCAATTGAACATGCAATGCGTTAAGCTGAGGGAGGGAGGCTGTGCTAGGGGGTAGGGAGGTGAACAGATGAATTAGCAGCTCTAAAAACTGTTGCTCACATCGACTCTGTAAATTGAAAACTGCCACACTGATGGATAGATGGAACTCTAGATGCGTGGGCCAGGAGGGAATGATGATGTGGAGCATTGTGGATTGAGAAAAATTGGCTAGCGGGGTATATATATATATATATATATATATATATATATATATATATATATATATATATATATATATATATATATATATATATGATTATAATAAGTTTATAAGAATAAACAATTCGAATAAAATAAATAAATGATTGAAGTGTAATTTCGGAGACTTTCACTACTACACAAAGGATGATCACCATCGACATGTTCACCGGCGGTTATATGAGAACCGACGGTGATATATTTCACTGCCGGTTCATAGGCTGTGGGGCGCAAATGGATGACTTTACTGGCGGTGATGAAAATTTCCACCGCCAGTTCGACGTATGATTCGGCAGTGAAAATAGTGCCGGTCTTCGTTGTTGTATCATATGCGGAACCGGCTATAACACATTTAGCACTGCCGATTAGTCACCCAATATGCAACACACTTACAGACCAGCAATGATAAGAAGTTCCACCGCTGTCTGAAGGTGGAAGGTCGCAGTACCAATTAGAGCTGGCAGTGAAATCGCTATCACTGTTGGTTCGCTGGAGTGCCATTTGTTGCATGGAAGTGGCACTTTGGTATGAAAGCACTTAAGTTGGTGATAAGAAAGTTGGGACCAAGAAAATCATAAGCTTTGGACAGGATCTTTTCAAGGGACTGAGGTTTAGTTGCACGATATGGATTTGTATATTTGAGCTATATGAAGTTTCTTGAAAAACAACAAACTAACACTACCGGAAATAGTGACTTTGTCATGTGCCATAGGCACTCGGCAAAGGCTTTACTGAGTGTAACACTCGGCAAACAGCACACGACATCTACAGTGTCGGCAAACAACTATTTGCCGAGTGTTTTTATCACGCAAAAAAAAAAGTGGATTATTGTTCCAAAAAAAATTTGACACTCGGCAGAAAAAAGTGATTTGCCGAGTGTTTTTTCCAAAATACACTCGGCAAAGGATTATTGTTTGCCGAGTGTTTTTGGAATTACACTCAGCAAACCTATTTTCCAAAGAAAAAAAATATTTTTTTCTCAGCATACTGTTACTGTTTGCCGAGTGTATTTTGAAATTACACTCGGCAAACCTATTTTCCAAAGAAAAAAAAATATTTTTTTCTCAGCATATACCACTGTTCCAGCTGACGTGCACATGCCAAGCCCTGTCTGCCCAATAATCCTCCGAAAACACAAGCAGGAGACGCCGAAAGGGATCTAGGATCTAACCTCTCAAGGGACGATGCCTACCTATCTAAAGCTCCCATTTGGCACCAAGTTTGTCGGATCCAAATGCCAATTTCTCTCATGAGCAGAGGCACCAGCTGCACCGGCAGAAGCTGGGGCAGGAGCAGCTGCAGCAGCAGCCGCATCACCACCACGGGCACCGACAGCACCAGGAGCAATCGAACCAGCAGCAGCTGCAGCAACAGCACCCGGTGTCGCTCCTCCGCCGCTCCTCCTCCGTCGTCATCTCCATGAAGGGTGACACGGGGGGCTCGAGCTGCGGCGGCAGCTGCTGCTCGTGCTCCTTCTCCAGCGGCTGGTACAGCGCGCTGTTGACGACATCCTTCTTCCTCGGCGACGTCTCCGCCAGTCTGCATGCAGGTGATTGCTTAATTTGCACGGTTGTTGCCAACAAGACAAGATCAAGAACGGGCATCACGGTGCAGTGCAGTACATTGGGACGGCAGCTTGGAGTCCACCGCCTCCGCCATGGCCTCATAGTAGTAGAAGTCGAAGTGCGACCTGCTGCCGGGGTACAGGTCGTTGGCGCCCTGGATGCTGAAGAGCGACTCGTTGGACGCCATGCTCCACTTGGCCTCTGACACTCGCTGGCGCCCACTTGGCTGGAACATGGAACATGTACTGAAGTCTGGACTACCCAGAGTCCTCACAAATATAACACATAATCTTTATATGGTAAGACACATAGTTTAGAGAGCACAAATCATTTCAGTTTAATTGTAATACCATGAGAGTGTGAATAAAATGTGTGGAACTGAAAGAAAAGGTATAGTTCAGAGAGCACAAATCATTAGCCACACTCACCTACTACAACCATTTCATTTCTGGTTATAAAGTGCAGCAAAAGGTAACTCATCCTTAAACACACTCACCTAATACTACAATATTGCTGCAATTAAGCAGCAAATTAGTGAATGTCTAGGAGCATATATACAAAAATGTAAATTACACCAACATCATCACGCCCAATTAAACAGCCTAGAGGTTGCATAAATTACAATTAAATAGTTCAAATGTATTGTAATCCATGTCCTTTCGATTATGTGCAAGGTTAAATAGATGACAGTGTAGATATGCTAAGTTCAGTACAAAGAAATACTGCAAAACAGAGAATCGATCTAGAGAACTAGCAAGGTACACAAGCAGTTCTACTGCCGACACACATGCATCCTATTTCAAAGCTAGGAAGGATTAAACAAGTATTTAATTCCAAGCATGTATGAACCGAGCATTAGAATAATTAATTAGAGCTGCAGGCAAACATGTCACAATTACTGGATTATTGGTCGGTGAAGCACAAAAGTAACAATTGAGAGTTTGAGAACTGAAACTTGTTGCTTACCTGCTCAAACTGATGAATTCACAGCAAGGTGCTTATATTGCACAAGCACTGAATCCATGTCCAGCTGCTGCTCTGAATCCAAAGCATTGCAAACCTGCACCCTGTGGCGAAAGAAAGAAGTCAGCCAAGTTGCCGATTGAAAATGGAATTAGCAAAAGCCTACTGCTGCTGAAAATCCAATTAATGTGAACTGCTGCTCCTGCTCTTGGTGCTGTGCGTGCACGGGTTCTGGATGAGCACCGATTGGTGCTTGGAAGCTGAGCACGGCCAACCAGAGGCGAGTGAGCTTCGGCGAGGACTGGACACTGCCGCGCCGAACTGCAAACAGAGGGAGGGAGCAGGCTCGGTTTGCACGAGCACACACAGGTTTTGACCGGTGAAGGCACCAGCGCCTGCGAGCTGCACCTGAGAATTACGAACTGGGACCGAGCGCAAGAAACAGACACGGGCGAGCACCAAAAATTCGACGGGAACTCGACCAAAACAAAAGGATTCGTCCCCAAACTTTGCATAGGCAATCACCACAGAGTAGGTAAGCTATTCCCAAGAAATCATCGCTCAATTCGTGCTCAAACTCCAGCAAATCCAGATCACGTGCGAGAACTCGAAAAATCCCCAAAAACAAAATCATGGTGCTCAAGTGAAGGATTTGTTAGGGGATCACCCTAGCCTTGATCACACATGTCCTAGCACCAAAATCCCTCAAGAAGTTTCACCCCAATCACAACCAAATTCGACGAACCAAAAATCACTAAAAATGCCTCCGAAAATCACACAAAAATAAAAACTTCAGTTTTGGAGAGGGGAACAAGTGGTGCACGAATTTGATCCTGGGATTAGCTCAAGATGTCGGATTACAAGCCACTTCAGTTTTTGGCGGCCGGGGGCAGGGGGCGCCGGCGGCGGCCGGGGACGGGTGTGCCTGTGTGCGTGTGCGGCGCGGGTGGGTGTGCCACTACTACAGAATGGACTTGTTGTCCCGGGCGCGGTAACGGACTTTAGTCCCGGTTACCGCGCCGGGACAACGATCCCGGGACTAAAGGTGCACCTTTAGTCCTGGGTCATCGAGCCGGAACTAAAGAGAGACCTTTAGTCCCGGTTGGTGTTACCAACCGGGACTAAAGGCCCTCCAGCCGAGCAAACATGGCCGCACCCTTTAGTCCCGGTTGGTAACCCAACCGGGACTAAAGGTTCTTTTTTTTTTCTTTTTTTTTGTTTAATTTGTTTTCAGTTCAGTTACACGTATTTGTTTAATATATAATATGTTTTTATGTACGTATTCTACGCTGCTAATATAAATACACGCACGCATATAATTACATCTAATTCTCATCTCGAGCATTATTATATTTGAATAAAGTATGAACCTATATATATTATAGATATATATATATGTATATATACAACACTTTCATAATCTTGTTCTCGAAAATAACGATATCAATAAACATTTAATTTACATCATTTATTCCTTAGGATCAAAGTAGAACTCGCCGTTGGGATTTAGCACTTTTTCTAGAAGAAATCCTGCTATTGACTCTTGAACTGCTTTCAGATGGTCTTTTTGCATGACCCTTCGTTTCAAACATTAGTCTTGCATTTGAAATAAAAGGAAAAGTATTAATATATATATATATATATATATATATATATATTCATTTAAAAATAAATAAAAAATTGATATATACGTACTCTGAGGACATCTTTAGGAGTTCTTCTTATGTGCGCAGTGATAAATTCACAAACGTAGTATCCACACAAGTTATTACCTGGTTGCTGCCGTAAACACCACTGTACGAGAAGAAGATTATTCCCATCAGCTCACACGTAAATTGAAGTACGATATAGTAATTAAACACGTGGGGAAGTGTATATAATACAACTTACTGGTATTTCAACTACATTAAGTGGTGCCTTGCAATCCTTGCGATGTTGCCGAATAAACTCTTTCCAAACCCTGTGCGACCACTAATGTACGATCGTTAATAAATTATGGCAAAGTCTATTCAATAATAGTTGTGCGCGAGAGATCGAAATTACCCCTGGATAATGTCTATCATATCTTGGTATAGTGCCCGCTCTTTTCTCAACGAGTCAAAGATTACTAACCGACTTGAGTTTAACTCAATGACAATGAGTATCCAGTGAAACCTGTATTGGTTTATACACACGTATATGCATATAAGTTGTATTGATATTACATAAAATGTGTAGACTACATTATTATTAACACTTACTCAAAGTTGTACGGGAAAAGTATTGTTGTCTTGTCGTGCTGCTTCACGAAGAACATTATGATATTCTCCTGTGCTTCAGATACCCACCGCTCCTTGACAATAATACTGGTTTTGAATACGATATAAGGATCAATGAAGCCAACACTAGTGTCTTGTATTCTTTGGAGCTCTGACATCTGGAATCTGTATATAAATATAAGTTACATGTGAGGATAATTATATACACGTATGCATGGAAGTGAGTTTATTAAATAAAAGTAAGAATCACTTACAAACAAAAGGAGCTAATGATTGATTTGTCCAGAGCGTCCATGTGGTATAGTTGATGCAATTCTTCGAAACTAATATGTAAGATGTCATCGCCACGGAAGTAATGATGGTCTCTAAATCTGACAAAGATCCACTGCTCACCCCTGCCACACGCCTGCATGTACCACTTGTTGAGCAAGTACATTTGCGTACCCAATTCATTCAGAGCCGCAGGGTTGTACAGACTTTTGCCATATTTATAAGTCTTCCAGGTATCAACTTCCAGGTTCTGGATTGGAGCTTTGCCCGTCAATTGATCCAAGGTTAAACCAGTATCTTCAAAAAAAGCATTAAGGGCTTGAACCGACACTTCTCCAGAGTTGTCTGGTCGATAGACTTCTATGTTGGAACCATATTCATTAGCAACAACAAGATTTTGCATTGGTTGCTTCTGTTGTCCGAGCTATGGGACATCCTTCCCTGATGCTCTTTTCCTTTTCTTATCTGCATCATGTGACTTCACGAGGGAGCGGTCATAGTCTGATAGTGGCGAAGGCTTACGAAGTTCAATCATCTTTTTCTTGTGAGCATAACCTTATCCCTCAGCACATCTCGTGGTATGTAAAAGTATTGCTTCTCCTTAAGCTTCGCTTGACTCTTGTTTTTGATATCTATAAAAAAATCTTTCACTTTTGTGTCTTCTTCAGCTGCTATTTGCTCATCAGTATTTTCAGGAAGTATTTCTTGAGAAATAACTCTTTTTCTCGGGGTCTTCTTTGCCACTGGGACCTTAGACGTCTTTGTAGTGCGTCGCTGTGGAGGGGGTGGGGGCGGTGTTGGAGACCGGCGTGGAGGCGATGAGGCCGATGTTGGTGGAGACCGGCGTGGAGGCGTTGGAGATCGTTGTGGAGGCGGTGGGGCCGGTGTAGGAGTTGGAAATCGTTGTGGAGGCAATGGGGCCGGTGTAGGAGTTGGCGATCGCCGTGGGGATGAAGTTGTCTCGCCCCCCGCGACGCTGTGATGAGATGGGGAATGAATGATTGGGCTAGGCTAGGGGGAGACCCTGCTATAAAAACAAGTTGTGTGTCAATTATTTTTTTGAAGCCAATAGAAAATTAATGGAAAATAATATTTCATTCACTTTCATTCGTACCTAGGGTGAGGTAGGGGAAGCGGTGGCGCCCCAGGAATGATAATGAAGCATTTGCGTCATTGAATAAATGTCTTCTCTGCTTCTCCTAGTGTCTTCTCCCCATCACCGCCTTCAATGTCAAGAGGAACATTGTTGTAACCTTTGAGCACTCTATCGACCGAGACGCTAGCATATCCAGGTTGAATAACTGACCCATGGATTCTTGGTATCTTCGTTCGGTCTATTGGAGATACAACCCCGACAGCCACCATGATTGATGCATTATTACCATTTGGAATGTGCAGCTCACATGTTGTTAGAGGCTCGGTAATGTCATCAACAGGGAAGCGCAACCCAGCGTCATCTTGAATAACTGGCAGCTCCGTGGAAGCACAACTGCTTTTCATCTGACCAATGGGGCTAATGGTGACTCCCGGCATTGATTGCGATTGCATTTGACTCATTGCTAGCTGCACTTGCCTCTTGATCTCCTCCTGCATTCTTGCCTCAAGAGATTTTTCTCGTTCACGTAATTCAAGCAATGCTTGTCGTGACTCATCAATAAATTGCTCCAATGCACGGATTCGTTCGGCCTCCTCATCCTTCTTTCTCTGGCGGCTT